CTGACAAGACAACTTCTGTGAAGAAACATTGTCGAGGAGTAATAAAAAAAAAAGATAAAAGAATCAGCTAAAAAGTGATGAAATAAGTCGTGCGGGTGAAAAATGAAAATTTAAACAATGGTCAGGCATAAAAGTGTCGACAAACGAAAAAGGATAGAAGCAAGATGTTAAAAAAAGAGAGAAGAAACAGAAAAGACCTTGAATTCTTGAAGGAAGTGAGGAGAATATAAAGAAATCCTTGTAATCCCGAAAAGCTAAGCTGACAAGGAGGATGGAGATCATCCTCCGTAGTGGAAGATCTCTTTGAGCTTGAGAACAAACAGTGAAGTCAAGCCCGAACCACTCAAGCGCAGGACACGAGCACAAAGGACCAACAATATTCAGAACGATACACAGCTGGCTTGTAAAACACAGAGATCCTGTGAGATACCATGCTACCGCGTTTATAGTTAGTCGGGTGGTCTAACAAAAAAATAAAAAAAAAAAAAAATGAAAATAAATCGCTTCTCTATCGTTTTTCTCAGAGATTTTTCCCTTTAAATAACATTCATTCTACATTCGTAATAGATGTTCTTTCGTATATCCCTTCCCTTATTTTATTCCAAGAAAATTGAAATTAATGGAAAACTATTTTTCAAGAAACACACGTCGTTCATTTATACAAATTATATCCACACTCTTTTTAAATCTTGTCCAAATAACGTAGCTTTATATATACGCAATATAGTTGAGTTTTAATGTTAGATTGGCGTCAGGATCAATAATACATATGATTTTAATAGTTTGAAATTGCAATTTTAAGTTATTAAAAATTTTCAATGTTTTTAATTCAATTTTTAAAATATTTATAAACAGAATATTTTTTATATGTGACAGATTTTTTTTTATAATAAAATTTCAACATATTAATGAAAGTGTATTGTAAAGAATAAATAACAGAACAGGCAGCAAAAAAGAAGGAATATTCAAAAAGATTTACTATTTTTATATACATAGTGAAGATAAAAGAAAAAAAATCCGTTTTATCCTTGTAAAGTTGATGATAATAGAAAAATCATTTACGGGTCGACGATTTACGGTTCTGGACTGTTTTGTAGCGCGACGAGATTGTAATAATCTGCTTAAAATGGGCGCTTTCATTGTTTACTATCCTATCATCGTCAAGGAGCGATGAAATAGCAGCTTTTCAAACCCTCTCTATCCCTCTCTCATTCTCTATACACCTGGGTCAATCTTATATTCATGATACAATGAGTAAGAAATTTTAAGCGAGAAAATTGACCAGTCATATATATATAATTCGTTTTGAGAAATAATTGATTCACGATAAAACACAACTATAGTTTTTCTTTTAATGTTTTCCACCATAGGAATTCCTAATTATATAACGCATACATAACACTAATAAAATGTTTCAAACATTTTTTTTTAAATATTATTAAAATATGATGAGGAAGGTCTATTATGTGCGAAAACTGAAATATTTTGTTTAAAAAATTAGGGACGCACGAATAAGTTCTAAAAATCAATTGTTAAAATTTTCATATAATAAAATTATAAATATAATTTTCATTGAGCCGAATTTTATTGGTTTGCATTATTATATTTTGCAAAATTTTTATTTGACATAATATTGACATTTTTTAATGAATTTTTATTAGGTAGATTTTCATTTACATATAAAAATTTTTTAAAATAAATTTTCATTTGTTGGAATTATTAAATTCTGATGAAAATTTTGCAAAATAATAATTTTTAAAAAAACATACATAACACTTACATATCCCAGGTAGAAAAATTAACATTACTAACGTTACTAATATTACTAACGTTACTAATGTTACTAACGTTAGTACATATAAAACAAGGAGGGGGTCCTTTATGTTTATTTCATAAACATTATGCTTCCTCATTCTGTGAAGCAAAAAATTCGCTTCCTCGTGAAGGAAGCAATGAATTTGTCCAATTGAATTGATTGATTTAAAAAATTTCGAGTTAAAAATGTTTTAAATTAATTAAATTTTTTGAAAAATAAAGAAAATTTTAATTAATTTTGAGTGTAACATAAACTTTATATATGGGTGATTCTCCAGAAACAGGTCACTTTTGATTCTTTGATTAATTAGTTAATAAATATTATCTAGAATTGGTTTATTTTTTTTTTAATTTCTTCATTTTAATGATCTTTAATAAACTCATTATCAATATAATGATATTTTACTTCCCAAAATTTATTTTGTCATCTGAAATATGCTAAAAATATACTTTTGCTCGTTCCACACATGGATTTTGCTATTTTTGAATAAGATTTTTGACATTAAAATTAAAAAAATAAAATTTGTCATTATAGTCATTTTAAAGTATTGCTGAAAAACTGTTATTCCCTAAAAGGGTTTTTAATTTTTCGTCCATTTAAATAAAAAAATGTTTATTTATAATGTTTCTTCGTAAATTTTTTTCTGGATCCGGAGTTGAGAATTTGACTAGTTTTTCGAGGTTTTGCTTGTTATTTTCATTGTAACTAAAGCAATTTTTTGATAAATATGTGTAAAAATCCCAATTGAATAAAAATCAACGGTACTAATTAACTAATTAACTTTTAAATTTATATTATTAAACAATACAATTTGCGTATTTTTATTATGTCTCAACTCCGAACCTGTTTAAAACAATCGTTTTTCAAAATAATTTTGAATTTCAACCTATAGTATCGATAAAAGTAATAAAATTGTATAAAATCCCTAAAGGATTTTTTATTTAGTCCTTAATTAACAAAGTAATTAATGTTTTTCATTTGTTTCTCAACTCCAGCTCTCTCAACTCCGGCCCCCGAAATTTTATTGAGCATGCGCAAGTTTCGCGCGAGCAGAAACGACACTCAACTACAGGGCCGTCATTCAGCTTTTCAGTTCCCTTGCGTTTAAGAAACTTAATTTTTTTTCTCTATTTTTATAAAAAAAAGCCGAGATAAATTTCTACAAAACAATTAATTTTTGCAAAGAAATTATTGTTTTGTTCTCGAAAAATTAAATATTAAAAATTTAATTACATGTCTGCGCAAAAACAATGGTGCCTGGGGCCCCGGCCGCCCTTGCTACGCTATTGCGCTGAAAGTACTACAATACATATTTATCGTTAAAATTACATTAAAAACGATTTTTAAGCTCAAATATTTATTAGAATCACTTGTTCCAATCATAATTAATAAAAAGGATGCAATAAACATGTATTTTTAAATAATTTTGAAAAAAAAATTCCTTATTCAAAAGTGACCCGTTTCTGGAGAATCACCCATATACGAATCGATTCATTTTAATGCAAGGAATACAATTATTTTATTCATCAACTTGAATTTAAAAAAAACACAAAATTTTTTAGCTAAAATATGAATTTTCGATTTTTCAATTTTTATTAATTCTCAAATTTTAAATCAAATCTATACTTTATATATACCAACCAATTCGTTTCAATGCAGGGAATAAAATTATTTCATATATAAACATGAATTTAAATAAACACATCATTTTTTAGCTAAAATGAGAATTTTTGATTTTTTAACTTTCATTAATTCTTTAAATTGCAATAAAATCTATACTTTATATATATCAATCGATTCATCTTGACATAAAGAAGACGATTATATTATATATTACCTTAAATTTTTCGATTTAAAAATTTTTTCAATTAAAAAAAAATTGTTAGAAAAAAGACGATAAAATTTTTTTTTTGGGGTATTTTTAAAAATCCTCTCGTCATTTTTGAGAGATTAATGTGTTAAATAAGCCTACCAAATTTTATCCAAATCCATTAAAACCTGTTAAAGATATCGTGTTCACAAAAACGATCCACACACACATACATACATCCGGACAATTGATCAGGATCTCATATAACATGTTTCTATATAGAGGAAAATTTGTTTTCACCATTTTTAAAAAGTTTATAAACGAAAGGACTACATAGCTTCCTCCACGAGGAAGCAAAAATTAAGAAAATGTTTCTAAATTGTATTTTTGCAGAAACTTGTCGAAAATCGACCATCAGGAAGTATTTAATGTTCTTACCCGCACTTTTTATAATTTTCATTTCTATTATCACTTCCACTTTTTTATTTTCATTACCGTTTCCACTTTCACTTTTTCTAATTCTCTTTCGCACTTCCATTCCCACTTCCACTCTTTCTAATTCTCATTTCCACTTTCACTTCCACTTTCACTTTTTTATTTTCATTACCACTTCCACTTTTTCTAATTTTTATTCCCACTTCCCTTTTTCTAATTTTCATTCCCACTTCTACTCCCATTTTTTCCACTTCTAATTTTCATTAGCTGTTGCCATTTCGACTAAAACTCTTTCTAATTTCCATTTACACAACCATTTCCACTTTTTTTAATTACCATGGATGGAAATTAGAAAAAGTGAAAGTGATAATGAAAATTTAAAAAATTAGGAATGGAAGTGGGAGTGAAAATATAAAAAAGTTGTAATGAAAATAAAAAAGTAAAAGATGAAATGGGAATGAAAATTGGAACAAGTGGAAGTGAAAGTGTGAATGAGAATTAGAAAAAGTGGTAGTGGCAATGAATATAAAAAACTGGAAGTGGAAATGGGAATGAAAATTAGAAAAAGTGGAAGTGAAGTGGGAATGAGAATTAGAAAGAGTAGAAGTGAGAATGGAAGTGCGAATGAGAATTAGAAAAAGTATAAGTGGAAATGGGAATGAAAATTATAAAAAGTTTAAGTGGAAGTGAAAGTGATAATGGGAAAGTAGTGTCAAAGTTTCTGTGAAAATATATTTTAGAAACTCTTAATTTTTTTATAGGTACTAACGTTAGTAACATTAGTAATGTCAGTAACATTAGTAACGTTAGTAACGTTAATTTTTTCACCTGGGATGTTTTTTCATTGCAAGGCAGTACCTATAATAGTGTTTGAAATAAAATTAGTTCAATTGCTTATTTGTTTGCTTGAATTTTTTAAAACATTTTTTATTTTTTCAGTTTAAATTCATATTTATAACATTACCTGAAGAACTGAAGGGATGTGAACGATGGAAAAGCACGCCCTGCATTCTGTTTTAAAAGTGTGGTACCAATGCAGTCTCTGACAAGTGATTCCACAATCGGTAAGTTGTTTTTTATTCATTTTGACTCTAGGGAGTCAGTCAGAAAAATTGCCGTTCATATTGACGTCGAGTTCTCGAAAACTATAAGTTATATTTTTAAGATTTTTCTGTTATTCGATTAAAAAATTAAAAAAGACGTTATTTATATTTTACTCCTTTCTTTTTTGAGGAAGATGAATTTTTTTTTAATTTTCATAACCAAGTGGGATTGTACGCATAGGTGAAAAAACCTTTCTTTCAAAAAGTGCTCATATTTAGATAATTTTTTCAATTAAATAATGAAATAAACGTAAATGTGAGATAGAATAAAATTCTCTAATAAATTGTTTCAAAAATCAGTATTTGATTGATAAAAAAATTTTGAATATTGTCAGTGAACAAATTGTGCGCCTCGCGAAGAATCACCTATATATATGTTGAAGATATCCTATTTCCGTGATAAATTTATTTATATATATAGAAAATGGTAGATCTTTGAGACCTTTATACGCGACCACCATTGTTCCTTCGATGACAGGTGAGCTTGTTCTCAGAAAGAATGGACGCTCCTTTCGTGGTTTTACTTCGAAATTGCTCGCGTAAATTTCGGTGCCTTCGTGTGATTTACGCAACGACCTAACTCAGAATGTATGAGGAAGACACCCTTTAAACCAACTCCTACATAGTACATAGATTTATCTATATATATTGTATATCTACAGCTCGATATTACGACACATCGATATTTCTATACAGAACTTAATTGCGACATCCCCATTGGATGTTTATAATTTTACGGCCTGGTAAAATTTATATCCCCTTCACTGTTGTGGTGAGCTACCGTTGCAGTTAATGTCAATAGATGATATTTTCAATAAAAAAAGTATATTCTTGTCACAATATTTATTTTAAAAAGCGCATTTTGTGATATACTGCAAATTCGATTTTTTTTTGCATTTTTTTCCGTTTTTTTTAGTCTTACAGCACCCAAAATTTGAACATCGTAAAATATATATGTCGTGAGTTTTTTCATAATTTAATTATCAGCATGGTTATCCCGTGTAGAAATTGACCGACTTTGCCTTATTTAAAGTAATGCATTGGTAAGGGCCTCATCAGTTTTTCCTGTTTGAGCAAATTGTTTCATTAATGAGCAGTTTTTACGAGTTATATTAAAAAACAAAAAAAATATCACACGGTGACATCGAGGTGATATCATGTTGATATTTTACAGGGATTTAAAATTTTTTATTTATTATTATTTTTTAAATTATTAAAAATTTTAAATCCCTGTAAAATATCAATATGATATCACGGTGATATCACCATGATATCATCGTTATATGACTGTGATATCACCTTGATATCACCTCGATGTCACCGTGTGATATCACCGTAAGGCGGACATTTTGACATTTTCCTGATGTCACGGTGATATTCCCCGGTGATATCACCATGACATCTGGTTGATATATCGTGCTACTTGGGTATATTTTTAGATTTACAAATTTGAATAGTATATAATATTAGAAAATAGGATATTCGTATGGAAAACTGGTAAGCCCCTTGCCTTGCTCTGATCAGTTTTCTTGACAAGGTCCTTACCAGAGATCGGGAAAATTAGTAAGTACCCTATGAGGCCCACATCACGATTTCTGTACGGGTATAAATTGAAACGAACATAACCTCAAAAATCAAAGTCATTATGTCCAAAACTTTGGTTTTTGACGGAATTGAGACGAACATAACCTCAAAATTAGGGTCCATAGGTTAGAAGGACATCATGCGTGGTGCATATTGGAAACAAATTCTTTAAAATGAAATAATAAAAATTTTTCTTAAAGAATTTGGCTAAAATCAATCTTTGAAAATATATGAAAACTTATTACGTTCCTAATTAATTTTTTAATTTCAGAATAGATGAAAATTTAGTTTACGGATGCAAGTTGAAATATACAGGTTTATATGTATATTAAAATGTACATAAATTCATGTAATTATAAAAATTTATATATATATATATATATATATATATATATATAAATTGTTATAATTACATGAATACAACACTATAATTTTGAGTATTAAATAGATCTGATAGCTGACTATTATTAAATCACTTTGTCAGCAATCAAGCAGTTTACAAGAATATGGTTGTTATTACACCTGTTTTGGGATCATCAGAGTCACCAAATTTTAGTTTTTTTTTAAATAAAAATATATATATAATATGTATGATTATTCCTTTTTTTCTTTTCATGAGAAAGAGTCGCAGTTTTATACTATACTTATAGATCGAATCATTTCTATTAAGTACACATTTCTATGCAGAGGATAGTCGAGATTTAATATACATGTAAATTATATACCTACATTTCCATAATTTATGTACTTAAAAATTTTAATTTTAATACTTTATTCTTATTTTCGAAAAGTTTTTCCCCCAAATAAAAATTTCGTGAATTCTAATTTAATCTCCAAATTTCTTGGGAACGATATTTATGACTATAGATTCTATATGAAAGATAAAAAATTTATTTTTTCATTCTTTCAATATAATATATTATTTCCAGTTTAATTGAGATAATGTTGAAGAAAAAGACAAATCTTCAATATCCGAAACAAATTTATGGAAACATATTGAACTATATATGAGAAGTTAAACTTTTTTTTCCTAAGTAGGTGTAATTTTTGGATTGTATGTCACCTTTTTTTAAACTTTCTTGTCATTCTTCGAATATGTGAAATTGTTTGCTTTAGGTGAATATTGAAAGCTGAGAAACTTGTTGAAATAGGGAATTATTGTTGGATAAAATATAAAAAGAAAGTCAGACATAACGATCAAATTGTCATGCGTGGAATCATGCCCTCTTCCAGGTTGGTAAAGTGCCTACTGTATACATATATATATATATATATATACAATGGCAACTAACTAGGCGTGCAGTGGTTGATACATTTTGAGGAGGGTTCCACCAGGTATATGTCATGCGTGCGGTTTATATATATGTATTCTCTCTTGTCTTCTGTCAAGGAATATACAAGTGTCAAAAGCCCCAAGCGTTTCTTGTCATGACAGACATATATATATTTCTACTTTGAAAATCCTTCAAAAATTCGCGCAATTAAATAGCCTCACATATGGAATAATATTTTTCCCTTGGGATATATTATTATATATACCTCCACTGACCTCCAAACATCTCACACTCACATACACACACTCTAACCCTTTTTCAGAGATCTACTTTTTTAACCTTTCTGTCAACTTTATTCATGTTGATCAACTTATTATTCCTCAAGTATATGCGTATACCTCGTTTAATATCTGTTTGTAAATTCATCAGAGTCACTAAAATTAATATTAAACAGGGATAAAAAATAGACAACAGATGTTTTCAATTTATTAAATTTTGCAATTTCTTTTTTTTTCAGATTACATATATATCTAACATTTGTCAATCAGAACTGTTATACACAATAATAATAAAATTTAATTCCTAAATCATCACACAGCTTTTTTAAATGTATCAAAATAATACCTTAAATCGGATCATATTGCATCATTTTGATAGCTATAGGTTGTATTAATTTGATACAAAAAAAAAGGATTATTTTTAACATTGACCCGGGAATAGACTTGAAGAATTTTATTAATTTAAGGGAAAGGTCCTAGTAAGGCAGCACCATATATATCGAAACAAAAGTTTCGAAAAATTTTTAACAGTATTTACTTGAAAACAAGAAAATAAAATGCTTTGTCCCTTAGGATAATTTATTGGCAAGAAATACACCAGCTAAAACTTATTTTGAGTTAAAATAATAAAAAAAAATTAAAGTCGATAAATTAAATATGAGCACTTTTTTACGAAAAACTGTAACAGCACTTTCTCGGAAATAACAAACAAGAATACAATTTTCATTTAGAGAATTAATAAAAACTAAAAAATACACCAGCTAAGATTCACCAATCACGAAAATAACAACAAAAACTTTTTTTTAGCATAATCACATTAACACCATTTTACTGATTTTGACAGCCATTTGGTAGGTAATATGTCAATAAAGGTTTCGCGTTTCTGCCTACAGATGGAGATTGGCGCTGTTGGTAATAAAAACAAATAGGTATATTATGTACTTGGCAAATGGCTGTTAAAATCAGTAAATTAGTGTCGATATGTTATGTTAAAAATAAAAGTTTTTATTGTTATTTTCGTGATTGGTGAATCTTAGTTGGTGTATTTTTTAGTTTTTATTAATTCTCCAAATGAAAATTACATTCTTTGTTTGTTATTTCCGAGAAAGTACTGTTACAATTTTTCGTAATAAAGTGCTCATATTTAATTTATCGACATTCATTTTTTTCATTATTTTAACTCAAAGTAAGTTTTAGCTGATGGTGTATTTCTTGCCAATAATCAATTATCCTAAAGGACAAAGCATTTTATTTTCTTGTTTTCAAGTAAATACTGTAAAAAATTTTCCGAAACTTTTTTTTCGATATAGATTGTGCTGCCTTACTAGGACCTATCCTTAAGCTGTACTTCTAGCTTTTAAAAATTTCAATCAATTTCCAAAAATTCAAAATTTTTGAGTGTAGATCAAAATCTGTTTTCAGGATTTTAACTTCATATTACATAGAAAGTAATTTTCTTTCCAAACTTTGGATTTGTATACTCAAATTTTAAAGTATTGGGAATTGTAAACTCACTTTTAATTTGTTGTGAGAAGTGTAACTTAAAAATTTTTTTTCTAATGTGTACGAAATTTATATGTTAGTTTGCTTATACATTTTAAAATGAGGGACTAAAAGTCGAGATTTTTTTCTATGTATTAGGGTATATACAGACCTAAATCTTTTCAAGTCTTGTGCAAACAAAATATAACTATTTCATTTTGCGGTGGTATTAGGAAGAATGCTTTACCCTCTGGCACGTACCCTTGTCGTTTGGACCTTACACTATATATATATGTGTGTGTACATAAAAAATTTCGATGTGCGTTTATAAACATATTCTATA